TTTTGTGAAATAACTTTTTGTACATTCGATTAAATAAATTCACTTTCTAAAATTTTTCGTTCGGCACGCTGTAATAGAAAATTGCCTTTGAATATGAGAAGCTTGAATGAAAACATTTTAGAAAGTGTAAGTATTTATTTAATCGAATGTTCAACCATTTTTCTTCCTTACCTTTTTGAGTTTTGCTTGGGAGACATGTACATTACACCTACAAGACGCTAGACCCAGCTGGGATATATAAGCAACACATGAGAGAAAATGTGTAAGTTTTTGTTGCATACTTCTGTGGGAAAGATTTTACGTCAGGATTTTATTTATAATAGTAAAGTAAAATTTGTTATAGCTACTAAACTATCTGCATTGGTCAATTTTACTGTTTGTTGATTACTAATTTTACAACATGTGTTCTACATAAGCCAAAATTTGACAGATTACGTTAGGAATGAGTAACTAGGATTTTATTATACCTTTTTAACGACTTATATCACATTTATTTTTTGCTGTTTAGTTTTTATAAATGTTTTAAAGACAGTTTGAAGTTTTTTCTTATTGTAAACTACTTAGGGGAATGTTCACCAGCGGTTCCCTGTGATGTACCTTTTTAGAGACCGAACGTATATACCCAATGTCACGTGTTGCCATGGGAAGGGGTTTAGCAGGGAGCTGGTATAAATTGAAATTCCCTCTCCTGGCAATCACCATCAACCCCTTCCAATCTTTTGTCATCGTGTGTTTCGCAACTAGACCGCTGGACGATTACATTACCATTAGATTAAGGTTGTGTGGGTAACAATAAAAGCAAATGTTTTGATGCATACTCTTAGGCTTTTTAGCAAAGAAAGAGGAAGTTGGACTTCAGATTCACAACGAAGTTGTATTCATGGGTCCAGTTTACAGCTGTTCGTTTGTTGGTCTCATTTTGGGACGCACGTGTTATGCATTATTAACATTTAAGGTGCCTGCAGCATCAGTCGGCTCAAAATTGAATTAATATTGTTTTGCCTTTGTTTTTATTGTATTGGACTGCAAAATTGGGTCACTGGATCTCTGGACGGAAAAAACTACGTGAACAAAAAGTGAAGACTTTAAGCTGCAATTGATTTACCCTCTCCAATTTTATATATAAATATTTTTTGTAAGACAATTCCGCGTAGGAAAATTGACGTATATCTTTTTTTTTTTTTGACTTTTTCTTGTTTTTGTTTTAAGTTACATTAAATGGTTTGGTATCCCCCCATGTCCTAAAGAGCATTCAAGAGCCATGCGTACTCAGTACTTTGTATGCAGGAGCTGCCTTCTGTGGCAATAAAATTGCAATTAATTTTTATTGACAACTCTGAACTCTTGTTGCAGCGTTTTGCTGTTGATCTTTCAGCGATTTCACTGCGGCAAGGTGATCGGAGGTTTTGGTGTCGGACTTCAGTGCTCTTAAACGGAACGGACAGAGCAGCTTATTTGGGGCTTAGAAATAAAATTGTACATTAAATTTAAGGAAATTTTAGGTAGATATACATCTTATTATTTTGTTTCTTATAATTACACTCGTTAGTCAGAGAGTAAACCACAATATTTTATTCAATATCAAAATATTGTTTCTGAAATACGCTGTTCCGCTTAACTGGTCATAAATATAAGTGGATATTATAATATCTTGAGTCGAAAGTCACTTACTTATTGATAGTCCATAAAATCGGGAAAAAATAGTTCACAAAACCGTTCCATTGATTTTAAATGTAAGCTAAATGTTAAATTCTCATAATCTTGGCTTGGTTCTACATTCTCTCGTCTTGAAAATCAAATGGAAACTACATTTGGTACGTTTATTTTGCATTTAAGAACATTTCTTCTCGAATAAATGAACAGACGAATTCACAAGTTCTTTAAATTTGCTTTATGGTTATTCAAATCACAGTTTTAAAGCATAATTTCAATTGAAAAATTTTTTATGCGAAATTTATTTAAAGAAAGTAAAACTTAAGCTTTAAACTGATAAGAGATCATTTTTATTTGAAATACTGTGTGGGACTCACAGTAGTTATCGGTTGTGATTAGGTATTTTGAAAATAAGTGCATCTCCGTAGTTCATCAAATATGAAAATGCAAGCCACTGTTTAACCTACACACAAAACCGTCTTAGTTTTGGGGCCAATTTCCTCTTAAGGAGCTAACTGGCTCAGCAAGACGACGCCTTCGATTGTTCAATCTTGGGACTGAAAAGTTTATGCGCGTGCGCGACACACAGGCAAAATGACACAGAGGCAGACGGACGGAGATGAGATGGATTGCCGTCGGCGGGACTGACTGACTGACAGTCGGTTGGCCTCAGCTTATCGTCAGTTTCTAGTTACGGATACAAAAAGAAGCTCGGCTCTGGGCGTACTTAAAATTCAATTGAATCTTGAATTATTGCATTGAATTTCATTGTTTGTAAATGCTCGCCCGCTGTGTCTGTATCGGATTGTAAACTGATTTCATTTTCTCCCTGTGCCATAGATTTATTTATTTTTCTCATTTTATTGAATGCTTCAAGTTCAGCCGTCGTAAATCGTCACAAAATGTTATGATTATTATTGGAGCAGGTATTGTATTACATAAGTTGGGTGGTCTGTGACATTTTGGGGCCTAAGCCGAAACCAAGTTTAAGTTAACTTGATCTGTATCCCTTCTTGCCCGGGGCATTTTCTTCGATCGGTAGATCTCTATCGACGACACCAATAAAACTCATTGCGAAAGTATCTTCAACAAGCATCTACACCAGTGGCCACTTGTATCTCGGCGCCCCATTCCCCATCACCGTGCATAAATGCATTTTAAAAGCATATTGAGCACGCGAGTCGATGTTTCATGCTCACGATCTCCAGTCCCCCGATTCCTATCCCTGGCCATCGGTGTATTCATTTCGCTCCGAGCATTATTTCTGCTTAGCTGCTACTGTTTGCGCGGCTAATTGTGCGTGTGTCGTGCGATTATTCAGCTTTGTATCTCACTTTGTCAGGCTGCTCTCCGGGGCGTGTTCCCAAAGATACTCTCCCGAACACACCGACAGACATAGACCCATCGAATAGACGTGTGAATTGCCATTCGAGAGTTTCACAGCCAATCAAGAGAGTTATGTCTTCGTATATATGCACACCTCCGACTGAGTGATGGCTAAGTGCAAGTGGAATGAAGTGTTTAAGGTGTATAAATCAGCGAAGATGGGTAGACGACAGCAGATATGTATATGCATATGAGGTTGGCTCTATAATGGCTGTTTGTTCCACTGTAGGACCCGCTTAAAATGGTGGCAAATAGTCAACATGACGGAAACCTTTAGTATACAACGTAATAAAAGTCCAGGTGTCATATTTCCCAATACTGCTTATCCTAAATCGTATTTTAATAAACGCATTTTTATTGATAAATATTCTTCTAAAGGAAAATTATGTGTAAAGTGATCGAAATAATCATTTATCTCTTTTATAACCCATTTCTACTTAATACTACTCACCCATTTAGCAATATACTTTTTCTTTTTCTCTGGCCGACTTCAGTTCGAGTTCGTTTCCTAAGTCATTTGTTTTGGTCTCTTTTCCCCGGTCAAGTCTTTGCTCTCCCGTTGAGCTGATATAAACTTGTGTCATCTGTCTTGGCTTGTCATAATTACATTTATATAGTCAACATCTAGGTAGCCTGACATTTGGAAATATGTCAGCCCGCACTGTTATGTAATGAATAACGCATTGACTGGCCAGGATTTTCTGGTCCCACTTGATGGATATACACGTAAACAGAGACGTCGTGACAGTTGAATTGAAAATATATATATATTTGTTGATATGTATTTTTATATCGAACAAATTTCTGCTGTAGATGGTCAGAAAAAGTTTGGTCATGTGTCAGTAAAATGAAGCTTTTTACGTCAGCTTGCTGGGAGAGAAATATAACTATTAGGAAAAAGTAAGGTTCATTTTTTTTCGGCCAAACTGTAGATAAGAAATATTATTTGCGTGAAGCAATTCGTCTAAAAAGAACAACAACTCTTTGTTTTTGCATCACGATAACGATCTGGTTCACATTTCACTAGTTTTTCGTGTCCATTTCGTCAAAAATTCGACGCATATTATTCCGCAACCACCGTATATGCCTGATTTGGCTCCGTGTGTCTTCTGGTTATTCCCAAAACTCAAGAGATCACTCCGGGAAACGCGTTTCAAGTCGATTGAGGAGATAAAAAAAATCGAAAAGGCGCTGATGGCTTTACCGGAAAGGGACTATTTGGCATGTTTCCAGTATTGGAAAAAACGTTGGCATAAGTATATTATATTGGGAGGGGATTACTTTAAAGGGGCAGAAATTGATTTGGAAGAACAACAAACAAGATGTTTGAATTTTACTAACAAAACCACCTTACTTGCACACAGTTGTATACAATTTTTTTTTTTTAAATGTATTGATTAAAATTTTACAAGATTCACTTCAATTCTACACTTTTTTATTTACTTTTCTTTTACATTTTGATCATTCTTTAACTGTCTAGGAAAATAAATTATTTAAAAATAATAAAACAAACAAAAGTCAATGGGAGAACAACACTTCAAATTAAAAATTCTAAAATTAACCTTATAGAATTTTTGAATATAAATTAAGAAAACAATAAAGATGTAATTAAATTTACATCGGAAATCAAATGAAAATCATTTGTAAATTGGGCTACAGACTTAAATAGATGTTGAGTAAATAAACTTAATTATTTTTAAATTATTAAATGTCATTGAGCTAAAATACTAAATATAATATGGATATTTGTACATAATTTCACTGGCACCAAACTGTTCAATTTCTTTTTGCTTCATAAAACTAATTTTTTATAAAAGTCGATGAGTTTTTTATGTGCTTCATATATATTTGTTGTTTGATATTATAATTTGTAAATTTTTTTAACACCTAAATAAACTCAATATGGAAGTCTGAAGTGTTCTACATCTCATATGTAAAGCAACGTAGTCAATTTCTAATTCAAATGAATTAAATTATCATAATGGCCCAAGCAAACTGCTGCAATATGTTCTCAAATCGAAATTCGAATCTTTTTTCAAAACCCATCGACTTATTAAAGGTTTATTAAATACTCTGTACACACTTAGAACTAAAGTACTCGAAATTGTTTTGGCACTCGAACGAATTCTGCAGTCACGAGATGATCTCAGCCTGTCAGTGTTTGTGATCTCACCAGGGTGAGATCAAGGGGCGTGGACTTTCGGACGAAGGTCGGGGATTCCCCCAAACAGTGACTCGCCGCTGCGGGCTCACTTAAAGTGGGACTATTGGAGGTGTGGGCCAGCGGACTGGCGGGATCAGGTCGCGATCTGAAGGACAAATCGATGGGCTCCTCCAGCTCGGGACTGCCGGCCGTTGGAAACAGCAGCTCAGTCTTGAACTGATCCTTGAAGATGGGCAGTTGCGGAACTCCGGCGGCGAGCAGTACTGGCGGCAGGTGGCTAAATGGGGCAAAGGAGCTGTACAGCGGCTCCGAGTGACTCCGAAAGATCTCGAGCAGCTCCTGGTGGCGCTGCCGCTGCATATCCGCATCCGGCTCAGAAGTGGCCGGAAAGTTCGGATGCCGCAGATCCATCTTGGGTAGGCTGGAGGCGTTCATGGACGAGGGTGTGGTGATCTGCCCGCTTAGTACGCTGGTGGCTCCATCTTCATTGGGATCCTCCGCAGATGATGCCCCGGAATCACTAGGCGTGTTGCTGAGGCGAGATTCGAGCTTCAGTTGCCGCTGGTGATGATGATGGTGGTGGAATTTGGCCGCCTGAAGGAATGAGGGCGAGGCAGCGCCACCCACTCCGGTGCCCACAGCCGCTCCCTCGATCCTGGGCGATGTGGCGGTGGCCGACTTGATGCAGGGATTGGTCTTATCCTGATAGGTCTGCCGCGCCTGGTTGCTCGCCTGCTGCAGTCGCGCCAGTTGCTCCAGACTCGCGCTGCTCACTCCGCCACCTGACCCACTGCCGCCTGATCCCCCTCCTCCGACGCCCGTCGTGGTCTGCTGCTCCTGCAACAGGCAGTGGATCTTGAACCAGTTGGACCTGCGACCGTAGCGGGAACCACTCTTGGACATCCCCACGAGGAGGCACTTGCGCAGCCTGCACGCCTTGCAGGCCGTTCGGTTCTTCTTGTTGATCACACAGTCTCCGTTGTGCTTGCATCCTGCTATCGCCGCGATGTTGTTGTAGGTACGACCGAAAAAGGACTGCGGGGAAAAGGAAATTGCATTTTAGTTTACATGACTAAATTAATAGGCGGATGCAACTGGCTAAGGTTAGTACAGGCTAGTTTATAGAAAGTAAGCTGTACGATCAGTTTTACACCTTGCAGTCGGACTAAAAATGTTGGTTACAAGTTGTAAACGCAGTAAAAGCCGCCCCTAAAAAAGATATATATTTTTGATCCGTCCGTTTCTGCTAAAACAATTCTCTATGATTTAAAGCTATCTAACGACAATATCTTATAGCTCCCCTCAAAGTAACAAATCCGAAATTAACGCTTCCGTTTTTTGATTATATTCCCTTTTATTTAATTTCATATTTCTTCTATGTTTAATTAAAAAAAAAGACTACTTAAAGTTTTTCTAGGTATGTGTCTGTATTTTGCTGTTTAATGCTAAATATATAGTATGTATAAGTTCTCCTTATCATTCGCTTGCCAAAGTTAGCTTTCTTAATCACGTTTTTTGGGTGAAACACTTGCAATTAGTTGGAAAAATCCGCAGTGGACACTGATATTTTGTGATTATATGTGAAGATTTTCAAGAAATTGCAGGACAAAATGAATTTTATGATGAAAAATGAACGACGGAAAAAAATGAAATAAATCAAAACCGAACGATCCTAACAAGAATTTAATTATATATTAAAAACTGGCACTTTCAATTGGAATACTATAACACAATGGCCGACAACCATAAACTGTCTTATTGTAAATTTTTGAAAATTCGTGGTTGATCGGCATTTTAAATAGTAAGAAACCCCTTTTTTATAATAAACCTTGTATTGCCAACAGTCATAGAAATAGTTGTGTTTATTTCTATATACAAATTTTTGGATATACACTTTTTCTTTAACATCCTTAATCATACCTATTTAAAGTTTTAAGATCCAATAAGATAATTGAAGCAAATCGATCACAGATTAACTACTTAACACTTCTCCAGGTTTTTTATTAATCAATTGTTTTCACCTATTTGCACCTGCCACTGTTGTGCTCCCCCTGTTGAACTTGCTTCAATTACAAAATGTGCGTTCAACTACTTGTAAGACAGCATTAACAATTGTTGGGCAAAAATATACTACTCTTCGTGATCCATTTTCTATACAACAGCTGATTCCCTTTTGTTTTGTGACCATGCCAACTCATGGTGGAGAGCTTGCCCCCAGTTGATTTTGAAGTTCAACTTTGAGTGGTGTTTGATGGGTGTCTGGGACTTTTGTTTCCGATTGCGCTGACTCATCTAATATGCATGTAATTTTTATTTGATTGACTGCAGTTACAATTGTGCTCGCCTTGGGGCTTACCTAGCTCTATATATGGACCCGCCCCGCTCGCCCTGTAGACTGCTCTGAATTTCGCAGACTTTTTCCCATGCCATTTGAAGGTGAGCCTTGTATTGTGTGTGCTGCGCACACGTATCTACTTATAGTCAATTAAAAATCGATTAATCTACCGAATTGAAATTTAATTACAGTAATAATGTTTTCGATTTCGCTTTGTGAAAAGTAAAAGCCAAAATCGAGATCATTTTTTGCACATTTTGACCACGGTATTTGCGAAATGGAGTCCCCCAAGTTTCTCACAATCGTCGGGATTAAATTCTATAAAATATCGATTTGGACTGCTGTACTGGCATAGCAACAAACTCACCTTGCAGCCTTCACATGTAAATGCCCCAAAATGAAAACCAGCCGCCGGCTCGCCGCACACTTTGCACAGCTGGTTCATCTGTAAAACAAAATGAAATTTTAATTTAAAATGGTTATTTTTTTTATTTATAAAATATTAGGTATTAGGTATTTTAATCGTAGAGTAAAAGGGTATACTAGATTCGTCGGAAAGTATGTATCAGGCAGAAGGAAGCGTTTCCGACCCCATAAAGTATTTATATTCTTGATCAGGATCACTAGCCGAGTCGATCTAGCCATGTCCGTCTGTCCGTCTGTCTGTCCGTCCGGATGAACGCTGAGATCTCGGAAACTATGGGAGCTAGGCTATTGAGATTTGGCGTGATTCCTGAGCTTCTTACGCAGCGCAAGTTTGTTTCAGTAGAGTGCCACGCCCACTCTAACGCCCACAAACCGCCCAAAACTGTGGCTCCTACAGTTTTGATGCTAGAATAAAAATTTTAACTGAAATGTAATGTTCTCATCAATACCTATCGATTAACCCAAAAAAAAATTTGCCACGCCCACTCTAACGCCCATAACGCTTAAATCTGTATACCGCCGGTAGGTGGCGCATTTTAATCTCGCTTTGCTATTTCTTCCTTGTTCTTTCTCGTTTTTAACCGAACAAAGGTAATACGAAACTAATATTTATATTATAGTACTTAATACCTTAAGAACAGATTGTCAGGGCTGTATTATAATTTGTATAAAAGCTAGACTAAAATGGAGTCTCAAAAAGGATATACTTTACTAGATATCCTCTACTACCTTCCAACTTTCAATTAAAGTTGAATTCTAGGACGCCTTATAAAGTTTATTTAGAAGCATCACTCTCTTAAATGTGACTGCATTTAATAAGTGTAAATTAACATAAATTGGCATTTTAATGTATTTGTAAAAAAGATGTAGATATGCATCTAAAAATAGATTGTCATTGGCTGTTATCATTTATTATTCTGAAAGTAAACGGGTTTTAGTGAAGTGATGAATTTCTATAGTTATGCATTTTATTTATCTCTTCTATACCCCCGAATAGGTATATAAAAGAGAAATAAAATGTTAGTTATAGGTTTTTAAGTAAAAGTTACGTTGGTTGGTGAAAATAAAAAAGGATTTGCAGCAATAACTTGGAAGTACCTACATAAAAGTTGCACCTGGAGAAATGTATACACGTTTAATTGTCATTAATTGTGCGTACTTTCGAATCTTAATTTAATGCATTTTACTTTTTGCATTAGAGCCGTATTTCTTATTCCTTGCTATTTCCCAGTTACCCCATCCCACAACGTGTTGCCGAATGCCTAATTGAAAAAATCCAACTCCGGCGACCTCTTCACGATTGTCCTTGTTATTGATGATGCCTTTTTTCACAGATTATTTTTCCCTGGGTTGTGTTTTTGCTGGCGGGCCAACACATTGACTCTCGGCTCAGCTGTGATCAAGACGAGGCCATGGCCAAAACAACAACCACGAAAGCCACGCCAAAAAGCGCAAGAAGAAGAACTGCAGCGGCAAAAACAACAACATGCATAACCGATGACCCACTGCGTTTCTCTTTATTTTTATTCTTTTTTTCGGAATTTTGTTTTTTATTTCGCTACAGGTCGTGGATAGAAATTGAGGTACGTAGCGACCGGTTTGGGCTTGCACCATCAAAGTTTCGGTCGCGGCAATGTCAGGAGACCCTGCACCTCATCTCACCCTCTCTTTCACCCCGAGAATGCCTCTCTCTCACTTCCCGGGAAGACTACGTTCACACATCTAATGCAACGTACTATAGTGACTTGTTTTGCCTGCCCATAACGCCTAAGGTCAAGCGAAAAAGATACAGCGAGGAGCAAATAAAATATCTACGAAAATCTTGCGTCAACTATTTAATGAGCATGAAGAATCCGAGGGAGGGATCAATTTTGTCATGGATATACATTATAAATTCTTAGATACTGCTTGGGATTTTCTTGTCTCATTTGTTAGAGCGCGGGCATTTGGGAAAAATGAGTAATTTTTTACAGTACTCCTAATGTAAGGTCAAAAATTGATAAACTTGTTCTTAGAAAAAATATGTGCACTTTAAGTAAATGGAAATCAGTAATAAAACAGTGAAAATCATCATCAAAATAATATGAATATAGTGACACAGAATTATAACCATTTGCATATATCATCAACTGCATTAATATTTGCCTAACTAATGTGACTATCTATAACCCTCGCCAAGTTATTGGATTTTATTTTATAAAAAGATGGTACTTGTTTTACATTACAGCTCTTTTTGGCTTACAGTTTATTACGTTTTATCTTGTTCATATAACGAGTTGCCATCAATTTCCGTGTTTTGAACGATTAATTTAATAACTAGTTACGTTTGAACCAACATTCCTACTAAAAATATGTATATAACAAATACAAATACTTCAAATTTAAATAAATAGTAAATTCGTAGTATTTTAAAAGGCAATATCGGCAAACAACTAAGTAATAAATGGAAAAAAAATAATATATTATTTTCTAAGCCATAGGTCAGTCTTATTTAATGTTGCTATATATAAGTTATGTTTTAAAAGTTAATTTAAAAAACAGATCTAAGTTTTTTTATTATAATTTTATATTAAGTAAACTTAAACTTAAATTGAATATTGGTAAAAAGATTGAGAATTTTATGCTAAAATCTTTTAGTGAAAATATGACTAATGCTTATAATTGGATATGTTTATAATAGTTTCTATTGATTGTATAAAGTTAATTATACCAGTAACTCGTATACTAAAAGAGAACTAAAAGATAGTAGAAGGAAGCGTATCCGACCCCATAATGTATGTATATTCTTGATCAGGAGCACTAGCCATCTTCGTCTGTCTGTCAGTTCGACCGTCCCTGTGAAAGAAAATTAAAACTAAAGTCAAGGAAATCGCCCATTTTGTCTTTTAAGACATAAATTGTTGGGTAAGATGTATCCTTTATTCATTAACGCTTGGTTGATTTAAGGAACATTTCCTTGACTCAGAAAAAATGTTTTTGTATTTAGAAAAAAAATTTTTTAAGTCGATTTTTTAACATGTAGGCTACATTTTATTTTGTGTTGGAACTTGGCATAAAGGTTTTTGGATTCTTGTGCATAGAAAATTTATTTTAGTAGGGGCACTATAACGCCCACTTAACGCTAAAACCAGTCTAGAGCTTACATTTTTTTAATATTTTGAAAAAGTGTAAACAAGATTTTGTTCTGAATTTCTTAGATCGGACCATTCATTAAAAAGTTATAAGCAAATAAAGTGTGCCATCTCGGAAACATGCAATTTGCTGCATGCATATCTGCATCTCCCTCGCACTACCTTTACCTGAGTAACGGGTATCTAATAGTTGAGGCCGACGACTATAGCGTTCTTTCTTGGTTTTTTTTATATTTCCTTAATTTTATAAGGTCAAAAAATGTGCCAAAATCTAGTGAAAAGATGTTAACAATTTCTTCCGTTTTTCGCATGTGGTTTCGTAATTCTTCATGACCCTTTTCAGAACCAGAGCTGCCCCATGCCAGCCAGGTTAAGTGCTCCGCAGAGGTGTCCGCATCTGGACATTTTCTGGACCAGGGCCGCCAGTGGCAGGGAGCTGCTCCGCGAAATGCGCCCAGCAGGTGGTGGTACCACAACGTGATGCTGCTTCTGTGATAATGGTTAGCCCCATCCGATCCCCGCCGGCTGCCAAATCCGACGCTGGCCTGCCAATGCCCGGCACTTTGCATATAAACGCTCGCTAATGGACACCAAAGGTGACAGCAGAGCGTTGCTAAATTGGCAAACATTAAATTTGCACCTTCACAGCGAGCGAGCCAGCGACCGCGAAACCGTGACAATTTTCGGCACAGCGGTGCGCTTTTCCAGAAAGCAGGAAAATCATCAAGCAGAGCTTGAGTCCGAGGAGATCTTCCATTACTGACAAAAGCCTCGGAGTCTCCAAAACCCAGAGCCGCAGTTCATGGAGAAGCTTCAGTGGTAATCTAGACTGAAAAAATCAGCCGAATGGGGGAGTTTTGAGAAAATGGATTTATAAACAACGCGTAAGCAGTGAAGTTCAATATGGGAATGTTTGGCTATAATGACAGCAGTTCAATGGGATCAGGAAATAAAATGGATCATATAGACGTCAAAATTAAGGCAGTTATGGAAAAGTTATTCTTAGACTTATAACTGAATTTTTTCATATTAAATTCTTTAAAAAATGATTTTTAACAGTTGAGTCTGATCAGACATATATAAACTATATTTACGATGTTCCTCTGTAGACATATTAAAAAATTTAAAATAATGTGTAGTTGGTAGTTTTTATTAATTTAATATTGTGAAAAAAAAACCTAGTTTAAAAAGTTTTATAATGTTTTAATAAAAGAGAATATTGATAAATATTAAAATCTATTTACCGAAAATATGCATAAAATAAATTTGAATGGCTTCTCCAAATCGTAATAGAGGTCAATATTTATTATATGTACTCTCTATGCCAATTCGACTTTAAATTACAACATATATCGTCGTACCTGATCTCCCAAGATAGACACAGAGTCCCAAATCATTTCGATCCTTATTGAGAAACCCGAGGAAAATGCAATTGAACGGCACGCTTGAGCGATAAAGTTGCAGATTTTTATCCAGAGGCGGCATCTCAATCCTTTTAGCATCTTAACATTATCACGACAGCGACCAAGGCCACTATTCCACGTAACCGGACGCATATTTGAGAGGCTTGTTCTGGGAGCATCTTTAGTTACCCCTTCATTTCACCGAATAGAAGTCATGAAGGAGGACATAATTCCCATGCCACGAGCTAATTAAAAGTCCTCGAGCCGAGCCCCTACAAAAGGTGAATGTTATCTTTCTATTTATTTGGTTCGATGTGCAGCTTGGATTGTGGGAAAACAATGAACAGATGAACAGAAAAGAGTAGTGCAAATTCGAAACATTTGACTCTCCTATGCCGTTTCCTTTCAAATTTAAAACCAGAATGCCCATTGTTCATTTCTGAGTGTATATCGAACCCAACAGATCACAACATAGGAACGATCTTGGCTGACAGGCTTATCGATTAAGCCAAGATTAATGTTACACATTGAGCTGAAACAGACAATTAATTAGAAACCTAAACTGCTACAGAAAATACTTATTGATCGTAAGCCAAGTGGATGATTGTTCAGATCTAATCTCTGGAAATCTACAAAATGTTGTGTGCCAGTCCGAGTTTAGCTGGAGATGAACTCGATGGGGACAAGTTCAGAGCGGCTTAGACAATAAGAACCAGATCAGTTGGTCGCAGCTACATTCTCAACAAGCTCATCAAGTCGCTGTTGACAGACCTAAAAAATTGGAAGAAATCTTGGATTTTTCTCAATAAGCATAATAAACAAGGGCCCAAAAAAATGTGTCCTTAAAAGCAAACAAAATGATGGACAATGCCAAATCAGATAAAGGCAACAGAGGGAGAAAAGGTGTTCAAACAAGCAAACCACGATTGTCTCAAATATTTTGAAGCCGCTACAAAATAGAACAAGAATCAAGAACACAGCCCGCTGAACCCCGGAGCATTGGCACAATCTGCAATCCAAACCCTTCCGCGACCCGAATCTCCTCCGATCTCGGCAGACAATTGCCGGTAATATGCTTTATTATTAGCCCTGCCAGCCACTGGAGACGGACATTCGCAATATGCAAATCCACTCAGCAGTCACACGCTCTAGTTTGAATTGTCTGCTTCCGCCAACCTCGATCCTCGATCCTAGGACCTCCATCCTTCATCCTCCGCGATCGAGGATCCACGATCATCCAGTCGAAACGCTGCCTCCGGCCCTTTTCTGCTTGATTGCCGACAGCAGTTGGACAATTAAATGTTTGAATATCTCCCAACTTTGTCCATTCTCTGCCCCTATTGTAGTAATTTCTTGACACTTATCGCACAAAAGGCAATAACATTATTAATGAGCATGTCAATGAGCTTCTTTTGTCTTCACTATTACACTTTTTCTGGTTCTCCTTGGCCGTCCTTAGTGGTAAGTATGAACTCATGGGACTTAAGGTTGGGTCTTGATTACAAAGTAAATTCGCTAATTCTTTGTGCACACACAAAAAACTTGTTATCATTTTTGATTTGTGTCTTGCCTTTTTATTCGAAATGCATAGTTTTATTGTTCACAAATTAATTTTAAAGTATTTACATAGTTGTTTTTATTACTTCAGACTTGTCTTTGATCAGTGAGATTTATTTGATTTATTGATTTGATTAATGTAGGATTTATTTTAAATGTTGTTTTGACCATAAGTTATTGTTTTAACATTATTTAAAATGTTTAGTGCTTTAATTTACTAAATTAATCCATTTTATCGAACAACCCGACCTCACGTTATATCACAGTCTTTGTTAAACTTAATTTAGACAAATTATGCAAAGCGGTTCTAATTTAATTACATTTTTTATTTATAAGCCTTTTTTGCCTAGAAAGTGTTAATGTTTATTTATTTACTCAGTCTTGATTTATGTGTGATGAATTTTTAATTGGGTTTGCCTGATAAGTTCAATGAATGAATGTTTTGTTTATTTCCTAAATATATCATATGTCATTATGTGACTTGAAAAATATACAATACACTGAGTGTTTGTTAAAATCTCATCTAATCATATTTGCTATAATCTTACCTTAGAATGAATTTAAATTTCCAAAGCTGCATAAATTAAAGGTCCTAATAAATCCACTTTTCTATTTTATTTTTGTTTAGATGTTAACTATTAAGTTTTTTATAACTTCACACACTTTGGGTATTTCGGGATAAATATCAATTGATCATATCAGATATATTCTTCACATGTCACTTGCTAAATCCGAATTAACGCTGGTGATATAGCGACGGCTTTCGAGAGGGATTGTAGCAATCACGTGGCGCACATAATGCCGAAGAACTTCGCGATCGGTTGGATATAGTGCGATGACGATGGCGATTGCGAGAGCGAGAGAGCAGCGGAAGCCTGACTGACGGTGCTTGGCAGCGGAGCGTCCATCCGAGACTAAATCGATGCCGTCGTTCTGAGCGCCAAACAGACTCGGACTGCCAGGTTGGCCCTGGCCTCAAAGATCGTCTCATCCCAGCAGCAACATCTGCAGCAGCAACACCAACGGCAGCAGCAACATCAACAAAGCGCACGCGTCTTCGGCCGTGTGTGTGTGCGTCTTCAACAGTGGCAGGGCAAGGCGAAACTTAACTGTTAATCGGCCACCGCTGCTGCAGGAAATCCTGTTTGGCGAACAGCTGCTGCGGCAAATGCTGCGCCGCTCAGCTCTGCCGGCTTTACAGCCCTGTTAAGTCGGTATGATCTGTAAACTGATCTGTACACTAGGCCAACTAAAATAATCAAAACAGATCAAGGCATTGAGGAATAATATTAAAAATTGTTTCACATAATTCCATTATTTAAAAATTTGGCAAAACTGCTAAAAAATCGAATCAAATCCATTTATTAAGTAATAAATTTGCGGTAAAGCTACATATTAAACATTTTTACAAATATGTCTTCTGTTTATAAGATTGCGGTAAGAACTGATAAGGTTTATCAATCAATTCAATCTAGTTATTTTGCAATACATACATATAATGAGCTGAATATTTTAATAGTGTTAATATCTGAATAGTATACTCAGAAAAAATCAAGTATTTTCAGTGTAAAAACTTCTCCAAGCACGTAAAAGACAGAAACCGAGAACAAAATGCAGCTTTCAAGCAAGAATTTTCAAGACCGAAAATACTAGATTTGAGAACCTTTCGGTTTACAATCAAGTATGAATATTTCTTAAAGCTAGTCATATTTGCACTAAAACGAACGATTAAAATAAAAAGTAAGAAAGTTCAGGCATGATTTAAGGTCGAATAATTCCTTTATTAATATACATGTGTTGTTAATTTAGGTTGGGTATGAATTATATGGTAGTAAGACAAATAAGTATAATAATAATAATAATAAGTATAATAATAGTAACATAATAAGTATATCTACATAAAATTAACATTTTAAGTTTACTTACGACTTGACGCTCACGGGCAATAGCACTGTGTTATTTATGCGCCTTATATTCAGAGAACTTTCAGAATAAACAGTTGGGAATTATTAGAGTTGACAAATATTTAAATCCAAACTGTGCTCAATGAGAGAACTTTTTCAGCACGAACGTTCTTAAATGGTAAGCATGAAATCAAGGCTGTTTGTACTTGATTTTAGCACGGTGTTTTTCCCTGACTGTAGATAGCTTTAAACTGCTTTTATTTCTAACGGATCATGGAAGGTAGTTTTATCAAGATTAAAATTGTAAGATATTCCAAACAAGTTGAATTTTTCTTTAAGTGTACTCTGTTACCGACTTTGCTTCGAACTTGTTCGCTGTATGTTTTCAGTTCGGTGGTTGTGGTTGAGGTTGCTGTGACTTCAGGCTCGGCTTGGAACTCTCCGCTCTCTGGAAATTTACCGCTGGGCGAGTGGTGCTTCCCCCGAGTGCTGAACTGTGGTTGGCTGTTGGCACCGGCACGATCTCAAAACGTTTCGTTCGTTTTCATTGAATATTGTCTCGATGCGGTTGGCTGTTGGATGTTGGGTTTTTTACCCCCATTTGACTTTACACACGATACTGTTATCATTTGAGTGTATTGGCTGCGAGAGTGTTGGCACAGCTTTGTCCATTGTGCATGTGCATCCATTTGGACTCGTATTGGACGACTAATGTGGCAAGGAGGTGGGCACTTAATGCCCGGCGATCAGTGTAAACAAACATTGGGAGAAATCAAGAAAACATCGGAGGGGTTTGTTGCTTGTTCCGCAAAATGGGGAAAACGAGTTTGTTGCCTAAGTCTTTTGTATCACTCGTATATTAAAATGATTTTAGTGTTTATCTTTATCGGAAACTTAAGGATTATACGCGAATAGGATTTAAAACCATTATTTTAAAAATAAAATTCATTAAATTGGGTGTATCTTAATGATTAAAATGTTGCATTCAACTGATTTTTAAGAAACATTAGAGTTGAGAGAATTTAACCAATATCGTATACTAGTTAGTACCAAAGTTTTTTATAACTATCCATCATTTTTAAAGCTATTTAAGGTTTTTAAATCGCAATAGACAAGGTTAAAGCTGCCATAACACCCGTAAAAAAGAAATATATTTAATATAATTAAACTAAATTTGACAGGGTACAATAAAAATCCAATTGTAAAAAATAATAACTGTTAATATTTCCTTGTTTAAATTAGACTTCCACCGAGGCAATTGCCAGTGGAACAATCAACGCGTTTCCATACGTCTAATTGAATTCTCTTGTCATAAGCATGATCAGATGGCTGCCTCTGTGCACTCAGGTGCCCACTCGAGTGATCCTCGGGCATTTGGCCAGTCTTTGTCTCTGTCTATCTCCATCTCCAGCTCAAGCTCTCGGCTTCTGTCACTTGGTGATGATGATGATTTCATTTTAATAACACCACTGGCCGGAGAAAAGTCCAGCACTGTGGAGATCGTTTAATACTCTGCATTCGCTGCGGCCGTGTCAACACCACTTGACGGAGTAACAAGGAAGCGCAACACTCTAAAACGACGTGTAATTTATCACAGCCAAGAGCATTTAGCCATGAACTGGAACGGAGACTCCAGACTCCAGCTCCGACTGGGACTGCAACTGAATCTGGCTAGTTTCTTGCAGTAGTTTCCTCTGGCTCTGCCTGTCAGCATAGTTGTCGTCATAATCTGCCAACTGGCGATGCTGCTCCTGGAGCTGCTGCGCTGCAGTTTTAGTCTGCATATTAACATTTCTCCTGCTCGTGGGCAGATCTCCCATCTTCCCTCTGCTCTGTCCAAATTTTTAATTAAGTTCGGGCCTTGGCAACGGACCCGTACGTATCTCGCCTGTTCGCGTGCTCATCTCCCGGTGATGAGTTGGGGCATTAGCTTTGATGGCTGCTCATATTTATTAGAGCGCAATCTGGCTCAAATTGTGGCCACTAGAAGCGATTTAGAGAGCAAGGAACTTTAATCTAATTAAAAACGGGTCGCTTGATACGCACTCGAAACGGAATTTTCATCTACATAAATTTTATTTAAAGAGTAATACAAATTACATACATGGTGCACTGCTCCTGTTCTTGATTACTGTAAATCTTTTTTAATATCACAACATTTTGTTTGAAATTTAATAGCTCTGGTCGTAGAATGCTGTTAAGCCCTCCAAGCTATCTAGATATCGTTATCGAATCTATTTCATCTTAGAACAAACAAATTTGTCCCCAAGTATAAAACCAACCGGTCAGCTTGCCTTTTAGTTTATAAATCGGTTAAAGTGGGCACTTGAAGTTACATAGGAGTCAGTAGCGGATCCAGAATTTGGTTGTGGGGGGATATAAAAAAATGTATTAAGTAGAAATCAAAAACTTGGATTTAATTTCACAATACGTATACTTTTAAGCCCGAGTGGGGGGATTTATCCCCAATATCCCCTCGTGGATCCGCGCTTGATAGGAGTCTTAAGCAAAAAAAAAAACTTGCGGCAAGTCAAGCGAGTCTTTGAGCACGGGTCTGCAGGCTAAAATAAAGCGAATTCTTGTTTTAAAAATATAAAAAATATTTTAAGATTCAAGACAAACCCAGAAAGCAAACCCAGAGCATATGTTATATAAAGTTGCCCACAATAAAAATAAGACTTGTAAGATTTGGTTGCTTAAGAACGGAGGGTCAACGCTTAGATTGATTAGGATGGTGATACTGATCAAGAATGTATATTCTTTAGTTTTCTTACCTTATACAAAAATATTCTTTCCTACTAGGCAATAAGTAAAATCTACACCTTCCCTCTTTTCCTACAATGCCCGCTTCAAATTTTCAGAGAAAATTTCAATCAAGCCAAACCAAGATTGCCAAACACTTAAACAGGTCTTTTTGTGCACTAACATGGCCAAATACAAATTGTCCATGGCCAAAAAAAAGACGAAAACCCAAAGAAATCACAGCAAGCTACAAACAAAATAGGCGACAAATCTCGTGAAACTGACTTGAAGCCGGAATGCCGGAGAATTGAAGACATTTGGCGACATGCGATCGATGCCAAATCGATCCAGATACAGATACTTTAAATCACAATTTCAATTGAACGAGCGCAGGCCGGCCGAGCCAAAAAATCAGAAAAATCGATCTGCGCACATGTCAAAGGCGGTAGCAAACTCTCCAGCAACAACGCGCGTAGACGCAACAACATCGGCAGTAGCGGCAACAACATCGGCAACAACTGGCAGGCAGCATTTTATTTCAATTTCAATTGATTGTCGTACAATCGCCATGAATAATTCAATTTTTAGAATTGCATTGCATGAAGTCAGATAGAGATAGCTGCTGGACAGGCGATCGACGAGGGAGAAAGAGAGGGAGTGAGGAATACGGAACATGGACATATTTTTGCCACTGTCTGTTGTTGTAGCTGTAAGCTGTAGTCATTTGCCCCTTCTCCTCGTGCCTTCCCGACCCCCAAGTCGCTGTCTCTGTTATTGGCGATATAAGGTCGTAAAGGAAATCGCTCATCCATATATTTCTATAAATGATATTATCCAAAATTGGTCCACATTTGCATGTTTTTGATGGACTTTTTATTTTTTTGATATAAAGTTTCTATGATTTCTGATTATATTCGAGTAATGAATTAATATATAAATACATTGCAAAATTCAGAAAAGATCTTAGAAATTTATTGAAATTACTGGTTACGTATAGGTAGGTAGTATATTAACGAGTGTATCGTTGGTCATAAAGATATCGCTCACAAACCCATGGAAAGAAACTGTAGAATTTATCATTACCTTGCTGTCTAATGAATTGGGTTGAATTGAACGTTATTAGATCAACGCGTTGTATTAATTAATAATTCCAAATATCAAGTACAAATATTCAAAATATATATTTTGGAAGGTTTTAACCAATTACTAAAATCGATGGAAATTAGTAACGAAGTGATAAAAAAACTTAGTATCTATTTTGTTTTAAAAGTTAGAAATTTATTATGTATATGCCCATAGATTTAATAACACTAAGTTCCAGAAAAGA